AAAAAAAAAAAAAAAAAAAAACAAAAAATTACAAGGCAAGAAAAAGAACAAGAAAAACAATATATTAAATTCTATCTTCGATATAATATCCCAGCATGCGATTGGTCTCCTACTGCGAAAACGAATATACTATAATATATATATATATACACACACACACACATATATAATATATAACAACGAAGTTTGCGTGTTGCGATGTAAAATAAACTGCTGCACATGCACTTTCAATGATGTCAATCGAAATAACTTGTAACGCGTATCGATTCGAATATTTCCACCCACTAATTTCACGGTCATGCGTTGAAATACGAATAAGGGAGAAAGGGTAGATGGGATGAAAACGAAGAAAGAGAATGGGGAAAGTGGATAGAGAAAAAAAAAAAAGAAAGCTTGAAAAAATCCTTCAAACCCCATTCATTCGGTCACACAAATAAAATATTGTCTGTTCTTATTCCGAGAAAATTCCCCATAGAAGTGTACTCATATGTCTATATATTACGCGTGAACATATGTATATATATGTGTGTGTATATATATTTATATGCAAGTATATATGCGTTTCGTGAAAGTAGGGTTCGATGAAAGCAAGTTCGAAGGGTCGTAGAACGTTTCTCCGAGAATGTTACGACGAAGGGTGGGACGATACTAAACAGCCCCCATGAACGGTAAACACTTAACGACTTGGCCGTATTTCATCAGGATAAATCGTAAGATTCTATCTTAGGTTGCCATTGAAAGTGCCATGTCTTTTCTTTTCCCTCCTCTCCTCTCCTCTCCTCTCCTTTCCCCATAAACGAGATAAAACTTTCTTTTCCCTTCTCCTTTATTCTTTTATTCTACTACGAGAGTGAGTGAGTGAGTGCCATTAAAATTCACGAAAATTATACTTCTCTAAAAGATAAAAAAAACGATTTTATTATAATTAATTGATCATTAGATTTTTCTTTTATATTAAACAAATTCAGATCCTTAAAAATTTAATTCAATAATAAATTATTAAAAGAAACACACTTGTACATTTTTTTATATTTTAACAATTTAATATTTTTATATTCTGTTAGGGATACTTTATATTCGAATTTCTTTGTGTGCGTATAAATTAATTTAAAAAAAATTTCATTTGTATTATTTTAATGAAAAACATTTAAATCCTTTAAAATTCGATAGATATATTGTAATAACGATTATATTAAATGAACAAAAAAATGTTTCAGAGTTTCTTGGAAGCAAATTCGAAATGTTGGTGGAATGCAGCACTTGTCGATGCAACGAGACAGCTCAGGTATAAGGGTCACGTGTCGCCAGGTGTATTAATGGTCGGTGGGCCACCGTGTGCCCTAGAAGTATTAAGGGCAGCCTGGGCTAGGAATGTACTTAGACCACCAGCTGATCATGCCATCACTTGCCTCGGTAAGTCAAATATCATTTAATCAAAACCATTTAATTATTTATTTTATTTAAATTTAAATAATATAATCTGTATATACATAATATACACATATATATATATATATACAGAAAACCAATTAATTAAACCATTTAATTTAATTGAATTAATTTAACCATTAATGTTATTCTTAAGAATAACAAGTATTATTTAAAATAACGAGACAAAATTATATATCTTTTTATCATACAATTTTTATGACACCTACTGAAATAAAAAACAAAAAGAACAAAGTATCCTGATACGTGAAATTATTTTAATAATTAACTATGATAACCATGAATATTATACAATATATATATTATATACATAGTTAAAAATATTTACAAGTATACATTTCCCTTTATATATATATTTGTTTTTTTTAATATGAAAGTACAATAATTCGTGCGTTAACACGCATAGTATATTTTATCTTTATCTATAAACATTTCTCTTGAACATTTCGAAGATCTTGATATCTGTGCAACACGAATAATACATTCGGTTGTTCACGAAAGAGATCGTAGTGTAAGTACGGCAGCAAATAGGTAGGTAGGTAGGTAGGTAGGTAGGTAGGTAGGTAGGTAGGTAGATGCATAGAAAACTGGATGATGGTTTGGTTAAGTTAGATATCTAGAGGGGGTTGAAAGGGGAAGGAGGAAGTCGATAAATTGAATCGGTCAACAAGTGGTAACATTTTCCCATGCATTTATGTATCTCCCCCCGTGGCGATGTATTTTTCATAAACTAAACATTCGAATCCATGTCGGAGGAGATATGGCAACGAAATAAAACATGATTCTATTTGACGCGATACCAGATATCGTCTTACATAAGCTTTAAGAGAACTACTACTACTATTACTAACCAATACATACATACACATAACCATTAACCAATCCTACATGTGTCAGTTCTATTTACGATGATTTATCATCATCTTATGGGAAGTTACTAACGTTTAGACGCTTGCTTGACTTTAAATTCCACTAACTTTCTTCCATCATTTATTTTTTATATTTCATTCGAAAGGATTTCAAACGAGAGATCGTCCAATGTACATACATAAAAAAAAAAAAAAGAACGTTTTTTTTACGATACTACAATCATTCTATTTAGAAATGCATATAGGTTAATAAATAATAGAACAAATGAGAAAGAAAAATGTTCAAGAAAATGAGATAAAAGAAATCTTACTTATGTTTTAGTTTGTTTTATTTATATATATATATATATGTATGATGGTGGATGTTTCTATGTATTACTATAGAAATTCATAGGTCGACTTTTGCATCGATAAATCAGAGGACCGTGCGCTTGTATTATCTACGACGGTAGCTGCATTCCCCATGCAATCGATTAACTCTGTTACTCTCACAGTTGGTGCACATATACTTGTACTCTCGAAACTATCACCACTAACAACTGCATTTCCATGCATAATTTCTTAACTAAATTTATACACGCATATACCTAATACTAATATATCATCGATATATCATTGTATTACAGGGTGTGTCCCGTGACACGTGGCTCAATAATTCGAAAATGTTTCCTATATATATATATGTCTGTTACAGTAAAGGGGGGATTACTATTACATTTTTTTTCTATAACAGGATGTTCCAGGATTAAATTATGAAATTTTAAATACCTTGACAAGTATGTTTAAATAAATGATTATCTGGTTAATCAATATTCATGAATTTTATTTAATCAAATATATATTATTGTTGTTTCATTCGATTACCGATTTGTTAATTATTTACAAA